CTGTGCCATGAGACGTGCAGAGATGCTGGTTTGGAGTGTTTTGCTCTGACAGAGGGCTCTGTGCCCCTCCACCCTGAGGGACTCCTCCCAAGGGCTGTTCCCCTCCGGGGTGCGGTGCAGAGCCCCGCTGTCATTCTGCTGAGGGGCCAGCAAGACTCTGGAGTGGCTGGGGGGGAGGGACAAAATCCTGATGCTGGAGATGGGTTTTGTCCAAGTGGGTCCACAGGGCTGGACCCAGCGCTCAGCCGTTGGGTTCTGGGTTGTGGAGAGGGAGGGACCTTCCTGGAACCGAGCGTCCTACGGTTCAGTGACAGTCACTCATGTCTTTGTCCTTTCCCCCAGCAAGCAGCGCCATAATAAGCTGTGGAAGCAGCAGGCGGAGAGCAACCTACCCCAGAACACAGATGGCACCACGGGGTCGGGCGACTTCTTACTCGAGAGCTTAGACATCGACCTAGAAAACCGCCTGGCTGACCTGGACACACCTTCGCAGTCAGCGTACCTGGACAACCGCGCCGGCACAGGAGTGTCTGTGGGGTTTAATTACTGCTTCCGTCGCCTCTCGGACACCTTGCTGGAGAACAAGATCCCCGGTGACAGGGAGGGCTTTTTCCACGTGGAGGAGCTGGAGCGGGATGCGCTTGCGGAGCGCAATGCCTCGCTGGTGGGACAGCCTCCGTCTGCGCCTTTGGAGGAGAGGCTGCTGGAGACGGCGAAAGCCCTGGAGGCAGCGGAGCCGCTGGCAGAGCTGAGCAGTTTCAGCGAGAAGGAGGTGAAGAAGAAACTGGACTTCAGCCCCAGGAAGGGGAGGATCCTGCTGGGCCACGGGGACCCAGGGGAGGACGGTGTCAGGGAGGAAAACCCGATGGAGAAGTGGAAGCGGCGTTTGTCCATGCACAAGGAGGAGAGCAGGCTTAATAGAGAGAACTTGAATAACAACAACAGCAAAAGGAGTTGCCCAGAGGATTTTGAGGTGCGTATGGAGTTGAAATGTAGGTGATTAGCATGGCTGACTCTACGGCAAGTGAAACTGCTCTTCTCATCTTCATAGCACAGTTTCATTTGACTCGGATTCCTTTCATTCCATGATGAGCTTCTTCCTTTTCGAAGTGCTTCTGAACGTGGCTTTGCTTGCCCAAGCTGTGGATTTAGATGCCAGAGGGAGCGCACACATGTGAGTGCCCTGTAAACTGCTTTGGGCAACTTGCTTGCATGACCATCGCTTGTCACGGTAGGTATTCTTCCGTTGGAGATATTGTCTGCTGAGAAAGTACGTGGCTTTTGCTCCTGCTGCCGGGCCTTAAGAGAAGTGGAAATGGGCTTCGTTTCGAATCTGCGTGGCTGTAAATGTGGTCTTGTGCCTCTCGCTCTGCTTGTTGCTGATGTCTCGTTCTGTGCACGTTTACCTCTACCTGTCTTCTTTTTTGCAGCACGATGCTGTGTTTGGGATCCTCAGCAAGGTGAAGCCTTCCTACCAGTCTTGCACCGACTGCATGTATTCCTCGGCCAGTTTGTCCCCTGACTCCTTCGGGGAGCAGTGTGAAAAGTTGAACCCTGGCGCTGCGCGCCGCAGTACCACCATCTGCACGCAACCAGCCCTCCTCTCCCACATCAACTCCAACTTGGCAGAGCACCTGCCCGGCAAGGCGCACTCAGAGGAAGCAATCAGAACTAAAAATAACGAGGCTGCGCTTCCTCTGTCGGCTGGGACTGGCGCTTTGGAGGCTGGCACTTGCAAATCACTTGACCAACACTGCAGCGTTTTGGAGAAAGGAAAAGATGCGCCAAAAACCCCGGTCAAAACCCTGCTGCCCAGGAGAAACTCGCACTGTGACAAGGGCCTCCTTAACGTAGAAGTGGTAAAAGAAGAGTCTCTAGCCAGAAAAGATGGCAAACCTACCAAGGATCTGAAGTACTTGTTGTTCAGCAAAGACTTGGAAAAGCCAAGCGCAAACAGTTACTTGATGCAGCACCAGGAGTCTCTTATCCAGCTGCAGAAAGCAGGCTTGGTTAGGAAACACACCAAAGAGCTGGAGCGGTTGAAGAGCCTGCCCTCGGACGCCTCGTCGCTGCTCAGAGAGAGCCCCCTCAGCAGAGTCGACTCCGGCATTGTGGAGGAAAGCGAGGATTTGATTTCGCATCACAGCCTTGTACCCCTTCTGGCGCCAGCACCTTTGATCCCCGAAAGCGCAGAAAACGACGTGGAGAAGTTAGAGGTGAAACGCGTCTTGGAGGGGACCTCTCAGAAAACCTCCACGCCTGCCGTGTGTCGGCTGGAGCACACGAGCAGTTTCACCAAGGACTTCCTGAAGACCATCTGCTACACGCCCTCCTCCTCCCGGAGCTCCAACCTGACGCGTAGCTCCAGCAGCGACAGCATCCACAGCGTGCGGGGCAAGCCCGGCCTGGTGAAGCAGCGAACTCAGGAAATCGAGACCAGGCTGCGGCTGGCTGGCTTGACTGTGTCTTCTCCTCTGAAAAGGTCCAATTCTCTCGCCAAGCTAGGATGTCTTAACTTGTCCTCCGAGGACTTATCAAGTGACATGGACGTGTCAACCGTAACGGACTCAAAAGAGGCCGTTTCAAGCGAGTCTTCTGTGCTCTGTGAGCCACAATCCACGCTGAGGGGTGCGGACGTCGCCTCCAAACTGGCAGCGAAGCCAGCGGTCGGGAACTTGAAGAACGTGCTTTGGATGGGCAAAAGTTGATGCCTTCTGAGGGGGGGAGTGTGGATTTGGGGGGTTTTATGGCATTTATTCATTGCACCGATGCAGTTTTATCATCTGACTTGCAGTAGTTCATCTGATGCCACCTCTCCTTCCCCTCCTTGTACTCCAGTAAGCGGAGAGACAAAAAAAAAACAAACCATAATGGGTCATGAATGGCACAAGGGAAAATAAAATGTATTGCATGGCTTAGAAGAGGACTTTGTGTGTGACTTGCCTGTTGTCCTGCAGGACGCTATTCCTAGTCCTGTTTGCCAAGTATAATAATGTGGTTTTGTGTGTGTGTGTGTATATAGATGGATATTTGTACTGATTTATCTATCTATATATATAAAATGCTGAAATACTCTGTTTCAAGGACTCCAAAACACAATTAGTCATGATTTTTTTTTTTTTTTTTTTAACAGAACAAACACAAGTCTCCAGTTAAAACAGAGCACTTGTGGAAAAATCCTTAAGATGGTGACATGAACACTACCTCTGTTCTGGCTGACTTTTAGCCTTGCTTTCTTCTTTGTTTCCTTTTAAGAAGGCTTTTCCCGCAATACTTCTCGTTGTTCGAAGCCGTTCCCTCCGTGTTGACTGTAAAGGCCTGGAGGAGCGTGGGGACGGAGGCTTTACCGTGCCGGGTGACCTAGCCGTGAAGTGAAGGAGTGTCGAGCTGTGTTCGTGTTGGCTGTGACCTGCTGGCGTCAGTCCGTCTTCGCTGCGTGACCGGGTGAATTTGTCGTAGTTTCGTGTTGGTGCCGGAGCGACACCCAGGCTTGCGCTCCCCTGGAGAGGTGTTCTTGTTCTTTGGGTGTTTTTGCTGTCGTCGTGGTTTGTAACGTCCCAGTGCTAATGACGAGCCTGGCCAGTAAGTGACTGTGGACCCTAGTGAAGCTTCGTGCGTTGCTGTGTCAGTGTTGTGGATCCTGTGTTGGGGACCCTTCCTCGGGCTGTCGGTGCCACGCCGTGCCGGCGAGACGGCCGAGGAGGGAGGGCTCTCCCGGCGCCCCACGCGTTCGAAATCCAAGTAGGCGATAGGAGAACGTGTGGGGGTTTTTTTCTGAATATTACTGTTGGGTTTGGTAGAAGGGTTCCTGCGCCCTTGGTTTGCCGGCAGCCTGGGAAGCTGTTGAAGAAGTCCAAGGGGTTATTTATGCTGGGGGAGCCGGGTGGATGTGTCCCAGCTCTTGTGGGGCTGATGGGCATAAATCCTGCTCTCGGGGGGGGGGCACATCCTTTGGGGCGAGCAGTTGAACAGCAGCACGGGCTCACTCCAAAGAGAGGGAAGGGCATTGAAGGTGTGGGCATTGAAGGTGTGGGTGAGGTCTCCTTTCGGAGGAGAGCTGGCGTGACCTGCAGGGAGGACACCGGGGCCGCCTGTGCTCTCGGCGAGGCGCCCATGGCGCGGTGTCCTCTGCGTGGCTGTCAGAGCCGAGGGAGCCGCGTCCCTTCCCACGCCAGCGGCCGGCTCTCGGGGACCGGTCTCAGCCCAGCGTTACCATGTGCTCCTCCTCTTGCTGCTCTGCTGTGGGAGATGCTCAAAACCCAGCAGTTCACCGGTGCTATGTGAAGTGTGCATTTCCTAAGAATATTTTGGGCAGCCGGCCGGGTTGAGAACTGCTCTGGGCAAGATGCGCCGGCCGAGTCGGGAGGGAAGAGCTTGAGAAGCGCGTAGGGGACGTGCTCCAAACCTTGGGGCTCTCCGAGTCCCGCGTGAAATCCTGCTGGCTGCTTGTGCCTGCGGGGTGATCTCTTGAAGCGGGCTCGGGGGTCAAAACAGACCTCGGAAGTCCGTGGTGGCACATGGATGCATTGGCTCGTTCAGCAACCAGGCTGCGCGTGTGGGCTCTCCCACCTTGCGCGATGGATGTGGTTTAGTGGTGGGATGGTAGGGTTTGGGGAACGGTTGGACTTGATGATCTTAAAGGGCTTTTCCAACCTAGACGATTCTGTGATCTCTGTCAAAAGCCACTCTTAAAAACCCCCTCCCTGAGGTGGGGGAGAGAGCAGGGCTGCAAGCAATCGTTCTCTGAGTCTCTATTAATCAAAAATCCACTGCCTTGAGAAAGGGAGCCCTGTGTTTTACTGTCCTAGATTCCCAAAGTTTACCTTTTCTTCCTTAAGACCCCACATTTTTATATTAACAGCGTGAGGCATTGTAGGGACTGGCAATCAGTAAATGAATGTCCCTCCTCGAAGAATCTTAAGCTGAAAATGTGCATCGGATTTAAGGCACGCTTCCCGTTTCACCCACGAAAGCTGGTTTGAAGCAAAGGCTGCTGCGCGAGGGCACCCTGGAAAATGCACAAGGTTTTGCTTTTTAGGGCTGAGGGAACGCCGGGCGGTGCTCGGGGGAGGACGGGAACACCCCCCGTGCTCGGGGGAGGACTCAAACACCCCCTGCCCGATGCCAGCGCACCCTGGGTGCACGCGCAAGTCCGCGTCTGCAATAAATTCCCTATATTTGTGTCATCTTTACCCTCCTTGTTTACACCCCGATTCTGAGCAATGAAGGGGGCAGGCGGTGGGGCACGCAGGAGGCCCCGGAGCTCTCCGATGCCGCGGGGCTGGGAGCAGCCGCCCGGGGCGGGGGGGGGACACACACACCTTGTGCCTCCCACCCCCGGCGAACCCCCACCTCCCAGCGCTGCGCTGGGGTTTGATCCCTGCACACCTGGATCGTGGGCCTCTGCCGGCAAGGGCCGTTTGCACCTTTCTTTTTCTCCATCCTACGTTACACCGGCGCCGTTCTCAGCGCTGCAGATGCTTCCCATTGCTGCCCGGGCGAGGGAAGAAGTGGGGGCGGGGGGGGGGGGGGGGCG